AATTTGATCCCCAAAGTCGCGACTAGGGCAGTTCCATTAATTGCAATTGGTGGCCAAATTACACAGCATCGATCTCTAGCACCACCACACAAATTACACAAATCAGCACACACAAATAACTCGGTCTTTCCTTTGCTCAATACATCCGTCGGAGACGTCGTCGACGGAGGAAGCCCAAGCTCGTCATCCAAAGCCTCCAACAAATACCCTAGATCCGGCTGAGACTCTTCAGAACCCTGCTTGAAATCCACCGTCGGTGAATGCGAACCCATAATTTCCTCCTCGAAACTCTTCATGAACGAGTCAAGATCTTGACTCGTTGTGCAGAAATCAGATTTATCATCACCCAAACTGTCCAATAAATCCTCATTCAGCCTCTTAACCTCCGGCAAATCAATCACTGGTCAGTCTCCTCCCACCCATCTCGTCCTCTCTTCTTAATCTTCGTCGGCGGCGATCTCCGACAGTCAACGGAACTCCGGTGGTTTTTTGTGACAGGGAGAGTGGAGAGACCGAGAGAATACAAAGAGAGAAAGAGAGGAGAGTATGACTCTGGTGGTTTTTTGTGACAGGAAGAGTGGAGAGACCGAGAGAATACAGAGAGAGAGAGAGGAGACTGTGAATTAATTATATATATATTTATTTTATAAATTAAATTTTATAATGTTATTATTAATATTTAATTAAATATAAAAAACATGTATCTATATATAAAATATCTGATTTTTGAAACATAAAACATAAAACCTGATTTTAGAATTCACATCTCCAAAAGTAGAGAATTGTGTAATTTCCACTTTTTTTATTAACCATAATCTTGTTCATTTGTCCTTTTTCACTCTTCCAACTTCCTTCTCTTTAATTAATCAATTTCCTTGATTCTTTATTTCAATTCTTTGATTCTTTCCTTCTCAATCCATTAGTAATTGAAATCTGTATTTAAATAATCTTATAAATACTATATAGAAAGTTCTTAAGGGTCTGTTTGATTGCGAGAGTGAAATTTGAGTGGAAAGAAAATGATTTTCAGAAAATTGAATTGCCTAAAACTTGTTTTATTAGGAATTGTAAATTAATTTTGTTTGATTGATATAATTTTTCACCTTGAAAATATTGAAATTTTGGATCATTTGATATTCGTTTGGCTTTATTTTTAATGAAAATTGTCCATTAAAGAGATATAATTTTTATTACAATTGGGAATAAAATTTATTTCAACACAATGACCTTCTCAAAATTTAAAAGACGAAAATACCCTTGAAATGGCCCAAACGCTCAAACCACCATTAGGTCCCAAGCACTCGAACCATTGTTGGATGTCGGGGCCGTCTAGGCTCAAATGCATGGTTGCCTGTTTTCCAAACAATCATCAACAATGGCGAATTCCATCCCAAAAAATACCAAAATCATCCGTAATATCGATTCTAACAATTTATCTATTTCAAATCATACATTAAATGCATAAATGCATAGATTTTATTTAGATTTAATGTAGAAATCAAAGAACCCATTCGTAAAATCATAAAATTTAAACAATAAAAACAAAAACCAACATTGATTAAATATGTAGAAGATGATGAAAATGATGATGGCGAATAGTGTTGAAGTTGATTTCTTCAATAAGATTTTTTCTCCTTTTTATCTGAATTTTTCCCTCATTTGAAATGAAAGGTAGTTTGTTACTTTAATCTGATCAAGGGCCATTGGTCAACCAGTTATTGACCACCATTTCCTCGAAGTTTGGGAAAATTAGGCTAAACCCGGTGTTTAGTTTTAGCTTTCTAAAA